TTAATTTAAAAAGTTAAGATTTTATATGTATATAATCATAATATGGGAATATATATAAATAGCCATAATACAATGAGTTAAATATTGGCTGTCATGAGAGTTCCCTACATTGGTATTGGAGAAATTACTTCCAGCTGTCTGAACAGCTTCTTGGTTAGGGTGACATTTGTGCTAGGCCTTGAAGGATGGGAAGAATTAGTATATGCATTGTCTTATGGAGCAGACATTTAATGAGTGAAAATGAGTAAAGACACCAAAGCTAAAAAGCATGAACTATAAATAGAGAACAGCGAGGAAGTCACATTGACTGGATAAAGAGTATACATTTTAAAAATATGTATTTATAGATAACTTTCTGCGTGCTAGCCCCTCTTCTAGGCGTCGTATCTCTGGTGATGAGCAAGACAGACAAGTTTCCTTTTCTATGGAGCTTACATTCTAGTAGAGGTAGAAAACAGATGTAAATAACTGTGGATATTGGTGTTATTGATAATACATTGATGATAGAGTGGGAGAAATTGTTTTTTGTTTTTTTGCTTTTTTTAAGACAGGATCTCACTCTGTTGCCCCGGTTAAAGTGCAGTGGTGTCATCATAGCTCACTGCAGCCTCAAATCTCTGGGCTCCAGCGATCCTCCTACCTTAGCCTCCTGAATAGCTGGAACTACAGGCACTTGCCACCATGCCAGGCTAATTTTTGTTTATTTCTTGTAGAGACAGGGTCTGGCTATTCCTCAGGCTAGTCTTGAACTCCTGGCCTCAAGCAGTCCTCCTTCCTCGGCCTCCCAGCACTAGTGCTGGGACTGCAGGCATGAGCCACCATGCCCGATCTTAGGAACTACTTTAAAAGGATGTCCAGGAGGGCCTTTCTGAAGAAGAAATATCTGCATTGAGACTTGTGCAATGAGAAGGAATCAGCATGCCTAAATCTGGGGGCAGAGCATTCCTGACAGTGAAAACAGCAAGAACAAAGGCCTTGAAGTACATAGATGAGGAATAGAAAGGTGTCCACTGTAGCTGGAGCAAAGTGATCTTAGGAACAGCTGTGGAGAACAATAAGTACCTTGGAGAGGGTTTTTGTGAGGGTAACGTATATAAATCAGTAAAATAGATAAAGCACCTCTCATATGACCTGGCACAAATAAGCATTAATAAAAGTTCCCTTCGTATTTACTATAGAGCTGTGGTTCTCAAAACTTTTCATCTCAGGCCCTCTTTATACTCTTAAGAATTATTGAAGATTCCAATGAGCTTTTGTTTCTGTAGGTTGCATATATTATATTTACAATTTTAGAGGTTAAAACTGAGGATTTAAAATGTTTATTAATTCTTTAAAAAATAGTAGTAAAATAGAAAGCATTTTTAATTATAATCACTGATTAATTTTTTTCTTGAAAGTTTGCATTTATCTTTGGTAACAAATATACTATTAGTTGCTTTTCTTAAAATGATAGACTCATTTTGTTTATTTTCAAGAAAATGCCTGCCCAAAATCAAAGTTCCATGAACCATAGTTTGTCATTTAAGTAGAAATAATATTCCATGAAAAGGCAGCTAGTTCAGTTTGCCAACTCAGTCTCAGAAGTGGTTTTCCTTAAAACAACCATCTTTCTTGGAAGAAGTGCTTTAACGCATACTTCCTATCTTATTCCACAGAATACTAAAAAGATGTGTATAAGGGGTCAGGACTTAATAAATACTGCATTTCAGGGACATTCATGAGTAAAAATAGCTTTGAAAAACTGAGTGTATAGTGGTCAACACAGTGACTGTTAATAGAAGTTTTTGGTGGTGGTTTT